CAAGATACTGCTAATACAACCACATCAAAACAACAACAATAACAATAATAATAACAACAACAACAATAGTAATAATAGTATTAACAATAACAAAGAAATAACAAACAGCCCCATCAAAAATCCATTAAGCAATCAGATCAGAGAGATAGAGAAAAAGAGATAAATAGAAAACTAGAGAGAGAGAGAGAGAGAGAGAGAGAGAGAGAGAACTAAATTATTTACTATCATGCATTCACATATACATTTATAAACACATATATATATTATATATATATATGTGTGTGTGTATAATATAATTCTTAAGTATATATATGACAAATACTTTTTTATATAGAGTTTTTTTATAGTTAATCAAAAATAAATAAACAAAGGATGAAAGAAATTTACCATCAAAACAACAACAACAACTACTACAACTACTACAATCTTCAAACAGCCACAAGCAGCAACTACAACATAACACTTCAACCACTATACTCTAACTACAACTAATACTGCTCCTACCACAACAACTGCTGCTGCTGCTACAACTGCTGCTACTACAACTACTGCATCACCACAGCAACAAAAACAGCAAATGAAATAGTAGTGACCAACTGGACTAACGTGAGCCTGTGGGGACAGAACGTATCCGTCGGGATGGCAGAGAACCATGGCATTCGGCATGGCATACAGTCCGTTCTGGTAGATGTATGCTGCAGCCTGAGGCAAATTGGGCTCTACAAGTGTGTGTGAGTGTGTGTGTGTGTGCGTGTGTGAGTGTGTGTGTGTGTGAGTGTGTGTGTGTCTGTGATTATATTGTTGTTATATTATATTATTGTTATATTTTCTGGCTAGCCAATGTTTGTCTGCCTATCCTTGCTCATTTGTTTTAGCCTGTGAGAGTGCTGTGTACAACTCTCTTGTTTATTGTTTGTGTGCATACACAGTGCACCTAGTGTTTTGTCCCTGTAGTTGATATTTAATTCTGTGTTTATGAGTCGTCTTGGTCTATGAATGCGTCTATGTAAGCTTGTGTGCATGTATGTCAGTCAGTCAGTCAGAATTGTATTTGTTTGTAGAAATAAAAACCAGCAAGGAGTAAGAGAGAGTAAAAACAGACAGAAAAAGAGAAAAAGAGAGAGAAAGGAGAGAGAGAGAGAGAGAAAGAGAGAGGGAAAATGTTAGTTGTTGGCAGTGCCTTGTTGAATTAGTGAAAAAGAAGAATGTGTTATGTTTTTAAAACTGGCAAAGCCTAAACTTACATGGGGGGCATAAATTAAAAAGTAAAACACCAAGAATAGGGTAGGAATATGACAAGATATAAAAATTTTAAATTTATAAAAGATTATAAATTATAAAAAATACAAAATTAAAAGTAAATAAATAAGTATATGGGATAGACACCAAAGAATTGAAACAAAACAAAAGGCACAAAAACATTCACCATCATTTTTACTTCAACTGACCGCAGAGTTTAGTGAAGGCCTGCTGTTTCCTGATGGCTGGACCCACGTTCAACTTTCTCTCTTTAAATATCAAATTCTCAAACTGCTTGTTGTTCGGTGACATCATCAATACGTCATCGTCGTCGTTGTTGTCATAGTTGATCAGTGGATGGACGGATGGATGGATAGATGCATGGATGGATGGATGGAATGGATGAAAAAATTATAATTAGTAAATTTAAAAATTAAAACAAATGCAATAAACAAAAATGAAGCAAACATTGAAGAGAAAAAAATATAGACAGAAAAAAATAATTGAATAATGAAAATAATAACTATAAGGAATCCAGACAACTAATTGCATGTCATTTTGTATTTTCACAAGACAGAGAGAGAGAGAGAGAGAGAGAGAGAGAGAGAGAGAGAGAGAGAGAGAGAGAGAGAGAGAGAGAGAGAGAGAGAGAGAGAGATGGGTGATGACCATCATCATCTTTATCTTCATCATCATCATCACAATGATGGTCGTGATCATCATCATCACCAGAAACAAAATCACCATCCTCATCAATACAACTTAACCACCACCAACAATAACAACAACAACAGCAGCAACAACAACAACAACAACAACAACCACCTCTTTCTTCAATATCCTCTCAGCGTCTTCTTGATTCTCGAAGGTTACAAACCCATAACTGTTTTTTCAAACAAAAAGAAAATCCCATTAAAATATAATACAATAGGTGAATAATATTGTCAATAGGGCAAAACTATGATTATAATGTAGTTAATAATAGTAACATATGTATGGGCAAGCAATTATTAATTATTAATACGGATGACAATATATATTTCTTATAATATTTATTATTGACAATTATTTATGATTAAAGTATACCTAATAATAAAATATGAATTACCTTATTAGTACCATATAATTATGATAGTTAATAATAGTAATAATTAATAATATAATATAATAATATTAATTATTAATAATAGCAACAATTGCACTCTTAACAAAGTGTGAACTATCCTGAGAAAAAAAAAGGCACCTTTTACTGATGCCCCCTCTGTCCAGAATTATTTTGCAATCCTTAACAGGTCCGTAGGCCGAGAAGAAGAACTTCAACTCATTCTCCGAGGTCTATAAAATAAAGTTATTCAGATAGCCAAAGTTATAAGAAAACTATTTTAAGTGAAAAGTTTTATAGAAAAAAGGGCCATTTTGTTTAGGAGTAACGAGAGCAGATGAAATGTTTAACAATGTAATTAAATGTAATTTTTAAAAAATATATTAAAAAAGAACACATATTAAAATTAAACATAAAATACAACATTTGAAAAAAAAACAACAAAAAATATTAAAAAAACTATTAAAAATTGGAATAAGCACTAAAAAAAGAACAGAAAATTCAGTATACAAATCAGAAAATGTTATTATAATTATAATATAATACAAAAACTTAGCAGACACGCACATCACTAGAAATGCCCCCAACGAAAACTCTATTAGGAATGAGGGTGCCAAACTTTGGAATTTGTCCTCCAGTGCTGGCAGGGGTGGGTGTGAGGCACAGTGAACTTTCCCTAGATGTCTTCATGTTGTTGTTATTATGCAGCATGGCGGTGATTATTCAAATCAATTTAATTAATTAATATTTTATTTATTTAGTGTAATTTTAATATTTCAAGACTTATTATAATTATTTTTGTGTGTGTGTTGTTCACTAGTATATTTTTTATTTATAATGCCAACTTCTACTAAATGAACTCTTAAACAAACTGAGAATCTCAAGTTCAGTCAGACGCTTTCAACTTTCAACTAACTTTCAATTAACTTTTGAGTGATAAATTTAAAATAATTTAAATAAACACTCCAGAATAGTCAGTTTGTTTGTAAATATATTATAAATAATTAATATAATATATAATATAATAATATAACACAATTTGTAATAATTCTAAGATTCTTATCAAATTTATCTAGCATCCCAAATTAGAAATTATAAGCCAAACCAGTATGTGAAAAAAACAGAAAACCCCACACTACACTAATTTCACTAATTTTAAACTTGAAAAAAACGGAAAACCGAACAAGCTAACTACAACAGACAATTAAACTAGAACTATTGAATAAACGAATGAATGACAGAATGAATGAATGAAAAAATCATTCAAACACTGTGGAGAAATGGTGTAGCAACTAAATAAAAAATGCCTAGCACAAGTGAATTAGGCAGAACAGAACAATATTAGCTTCAACCAATGCTTGCTACATAAAATATATGATATATATATACATGTATATAATATATATGTAATATATAATATATATATTACATATATAACCTATATATATATATATATAAATCTAAAATGGCAGAAAACTATTTCACGTATTTACAAACGGTCCCCTAGCGCCATTAGCGATTCGTTTGCAGCTTTTTGACAGCAAAAAAGCACGAAAGCAATTTTTTAAAATGTAAAAAGTAATTTACTAACCATTTTTTCTTCCTAATTTAGCTTCTTCAAATAATTTCCAGGTTTCGATAAATTAAAAACTATAAAATTAATTCGATAAATAATCCAACCAGAGAAAAGTTTTTCGATTGTGGTTATAAACAATCCTAAAATGAAGTTGTGAAGATAAGCTAATAATTTTATTAGTTTTTCAACGTTTTTAGTAAGACGATTTGTGAACATAAACTTTACTATATGAATTGCACGCTATAACTTCTGGCGCCACAAATGAACTATACTTTTAAGGGGTGTTTAGATCAATAATATTTAAAATATTTAATTAAATTTTACTAAAATACTCATGCAATTCAGTCAAATAAAATTTTAGATAAATGCAACAATGTTTGTAAATTGAAAAATTTAATAAGAGTATTCATTTCACACAAATAATTTCTAACTTATATTCGTCAGACCCTTAAAACGTGACACATGTAAACATTTGACAATGGCGCAAATTCCCTAATCCAGGCTGGCAAATGTGTGTAATGTGTAGTAACTAGGCATTTCCAGGGCTCTTCCCTGAACCAACATGGCGGCACGCGTTTTCCGTGTTATTAATTCTTTAAAACTGAGATATCAAACGAATCTCCATTTTCACACAAATCTCTATTTTTATCAATAACTTGCTAAAATTCGAAAGGTAACACAGTAAGGAATGTATCTTTTAGAGCGTTTTATTAGCCGGCCACTGCAAAATTTATGAGAAATACTTAGAAAAAGAGGAAATGAACGATATTTTATAATTCTACGATCACCTTTCCAAATTGCTGGCCGCGATCAACTGACAATTTAAGCCTATGTGAACCTTGACCAGTTTGGACGTTGGACCCCTCAAAATGTTCATCTCGCCATTCCAATTAGGGAAACCAATGGTTAAATTTTAATTTGATTTCTTTTATTGTTCATCATAAAGTTTTGTGTAATTTGAGAACAAAATTGTGTTATATGTGACATAATGATAGTAATACTAACAAATTGTTAGTGAGGTAATGCTAATTTTCTTGTTCACTCATTTGTTCTCTTAAAAATATAACAGACAAAAAGACTAAGGATTTTGATTGAAGCATTATCTTGCCATTCAATCTTTTAATCTTTTTTAATAATGACGTCACGGTGACGTAATCGAATAAAGATACAAACAACATCCAATCGTATTACGTTTAACATGAATAATGATCTGATATTAAGCAATTAATAAACGTTAATGATTAAATTTTTTTAAATAGTAATGGTAGAACACAAGTAGATTATGTTCTGGAGTATGTGTATTTTGTGTATTTTACTATGTGATTATCGCATTTCACGTAGTCGTATTTTATGTTGTCTCTAAAAATATGTAAAGAAATTACAAAATGCAAGCCATCTAATCAGTAAACTTTTTCAATCTTGGCAATCTTAACTTAACTGGACGTTTTCCCACAACCAATGTTTCCGACATCAATTTTTTTGCAGGTCCTCAAGTTTCTCTTATCTAAGACATGACAATCACAACAACTTCTAATCTCATTTAAGAATTTTTGGACTCATTCCATTGAAAACATTTGTTTTGTTTTGTTTCTCTGGGAGATATAAAATGAAATATGGGGTTAACCATGGGGTTATGGCTAGAGTTTGGGTTATCCACGGGGTTAACTCCAAACTAAAGTCACGTTCTTTCATTGTACTCTCACCTACATTAATAGAGTTTTGATTTTCAAGATTAGTGAAGTTTTTTTTTAATTTTATGATAATAAATATAATAATAAACTGGTAAATTTTGTGGTATTTGTTATTTTTGGCACAGGATTCACAACCGGACATCCGATTCAAATACCCTTTACTATATTTCAATTCTTATTCGCATTTCAGTGGAACTAACCTGCGTATTACTATATTTCCATTTACTAACCGATGGATGAGTAGATGATGAGTAACCGATAATCAAGCTTACTACTTAATAAATAAAACACGTTCAAAACCTGGAAAATCAATAAATAACCTTGCAGACATGTGTTGTCGATTTTAATTCGCACGAATGATCGGTTATTTATATAAGCCCATATAATGTACATATATATATATATATTATAAATATGTGTGTGTTTTTGTATGTCTGTGTGTGCGAGAGAGAGACGGAGAGAGAGAGAGAGAGAAAGTTTGGGTGTGTGACTGGTATTATTTTGATGCTCAATTTATTTCCATTGGATTGTATGTATGTATGTATGTATGTATGTATGTATGTATGTATGTATGTATGTATGTATGCATGTATGTATGCATGTATGTATGCATGTATGTATGCATGTATGTATGCATGTATGTATGCATGTATGTATGCATGTATGTATAAGCATAGTATATTCCTTTTACCGTTATTATGCGGATGATTTATATCGAGACAAACATCATAGCAAAATACAATATGTTAATAGAAACGTGTTTTGAATGATCATAAACCTTTGTTTTTTTTTCATTATATCAGAGGTATATGAATATTTGTTTGTATGTGTGTGTATGTATGTATGTATGTGTGTGTGTGTGTGTGTACGCATGTATGTGTATCTATGTATGTGTGTATGTATGCGTTTTGTAAGCTTGAAGGCTAACAGATGATAAAGTACAGTTTGTTTTCTAGATTTTTTTTCGTCTTAAGGTTAACATTTTTGCTTCTTCTTTTTCTTCTTCTTCTTCTTTTTATTATTATTATTATTTGCTTCCAATAGCATTGACGCTGAAACAAACAAATGGATAGAACCAAGATAGAATAAAAACGGACGATCATTTGTATGTGCATGTCTATGTTTTTGATTGTGTACGTGTGTGTGTTTGTTTGTCTTTGTCTGTGTGTGTGTCTAACCAACCAAACAACCAACCAGCCAACCAATCACCAACCGACAAACAAGCAATCCAACAAACAAACACTGTATAACACTCATGATATATGTATAATCATCATATATATATATATATATATATATATATATATATATATATATATATATATATATATATATACGTCTAGCATGAATTTTAAGAATGAATAATGCGAACTCGAGTTAATGTTTTAAATAAAAATTAATTAGCATATTTGCATAATTTATTCAAATTAAATGTATTATTATTTGTTAAATTTTGAATTATTAGTATTATCATAAGACGACATAGTTAAATATTTTGCTCATATTATAAATAGATACCCATTCATCCAGTTATTGATTATAATATTATAGCAAATACGTTGAATGTTATCATCACCAACAACTACAACTACAACTACATTTACTGTTGCATTTAAAATTTTTTAAAAATGTCTCCAACATTACATTCCAATAAATTTAAAATAGCTGAAGATGCTATATCAACTCGCTTTTCAACTCGAGTATCGGGTAATACCGAAAAAGTTGAAGAAATATCATACCGGTCGGATATTTCGTCGAATATTATGTCAAATTTTCTGGCTAAACCATCTAAGAATGATAACACCGACTGCACCCATGATCGTAATATAATGCCGATCAAACGAAATGTCAGTAATTTAAAAATCTGTTACAGTGATTTGTTACTAGACTCTTTAACATTGTTACTCGTTTTCGTTACGTTAATAATAACCGATCATATGTTGGCCGGCTTTTGTTTTATCGAAGCAAGTAACCGACTAAAGGATGAAAAATATTTCCAATTTGCCGATAATTCCGATTCCGAATATCTCAAACCGGTGCACGACTTTCAAGATTTTAACGATATCAGCTCTGTTGATAGCACTAACAACAACGAGTTAAACGACAGAGGTGATGATATTAATAATAATATCACAGACTTTAACAACAACGACGTTTTAGACAACAACTCTAGTGAAAAAACCGCCAACAATCCCAGAGATAATAACAGCAACACCATTCATAAAGATACTGACACTATCATTAGCAAAAGTAACAACAGCATCAACAATAACATCATCCTCAACAACAACATCATCCTCAACAACAACATCACCACCACCAACAACAACATCATCAACAACAACAACAACAAATATCAAGTTCCCCAGAACCCAGTCGCCTATGGAATTCCAAAATCCTCTCCAACACCACTGCCTCAACAACAACCAAACAAACTCACAATAAACTCTACACAACTAAAAAACCCAAAAACACACCAACGGTTTTTTCGACTACCAGTCGGCGTCATTGTGGTCATAGTTTTAGCCGGACTATGTGCCATAGCGGGACTTATATACGGATACGTCTACTTCACTAAAGTTAACCGAAATGGGCTAAATAACCACGGGAAAGCTTTGGTGAACGTAGTCAAGCCACCCAAACATGGGTCCGAAATGTTGAGGGTGGCCCATGTTTATGAAGATGATAGGGTAAGAGAGGGGGCCCTTACGAACGTACCCCCGTCGACCCATGTTTTTTTGTTTAAATGGAAAAGGTAGTCTTGTTTAGTGCTTGACTGAGATTTTTTTATTTATATTTTTTGTGTAGTTGCCAGTCAAATTATTATTATTATTTATTATTATTATTATTGTTATTATATATTACAATGTTGTTATATTTTTTCATCAATTTATATGTAAAGAAATTTTTTAGTACATATAAACAGCGCGTTCTTAACTAAACGACTTCTTCTGACACTTAACATTTTATGTGCATTTGATTGGTTCTTGTGTCGGGAGGTATACAAAATGTTTGTATTGTTGTATTTTTTGGGTATGTATGTATGTATGTATGTATTTATGTTTGTATGTATGTGTATGTGTTGTGTATGTATATGTATGTTTGCCATATTATTTCTAAATTTTAAATTTCTATGCCATTCACCTGCTTATATGGTACCTTGTATTAATGTATTAACGTACATACGGACATATACAAACACACACACTTTTATATATATAGACACACACACAAACAAGCACACAGACAGACAGACATACACATCTGACGCAAAGCACTTATTTAATGTTTTAATAATAATAATTGGTGTATTGGTTGGTGTATGTATAAGTATTCAAAACATACGAAAAAACACATTTTTTAAAAAATGTTTTTAAAATATTTTTACGACTATTCTTGTCTATTTTTGTTGTTGTTTATGTTCTTTTTTTTCATTCTTTAATCTGTCGGAACAACAACAACAGCAACAACAACCACAAAAACAACAACAACAATAATAATAATAACTTACTTTTATATCGATAAAATAATGATACTGATGATTACGTTGTCGTTGTTGATAATGATAATAATAATAATAAAAATAATGATGGTGAAGATGACGACGATGATGATGAAGTTGGTTTCTAAAAGAAAATTAAATAAAACACAAAAAATTGAATTAGGTAGAAATAAAAAAAGCCAAAAAAGCAAGAAAGAGAGAAAGTTAAAAAGAATGAAAGAGAGAGAGAGAGAGAGAGAGAGAAGGATGATGATAACAAAGAGATATAAAATCTGAAGGAAGGCTAATGAATTATTACCAACATGAAAGACAAACCATCAACATCATCATTACTATCACCATCATCATCATCTTCCACATCATCATAATCATCAACAACATCATCACCAACCCCTTTTAAATTAGCCCCATGGGATCGTGTTATATTAGTGTTTAAAATTAGGAAAACAATTAACTTTACTTATAATATATATGTATATACATCTATATATTTATCCTTTTATGAATATTTATATATATATATATATATGTGTGTGTGTGCGTGTGTGTGTGGGTATATTATA